CTCATTTTTCTTAGAAACAAAAATCAGGTAAAAAAAAAAATCTGGTAATTCTTTGTTTTTACATTCATTGGGCCCTAATATGCCCAAATATCAAAGAGAAATCAAAAATGCATGCCGTGGGAGAGTTCGAGTCTTAGGAGGTTAATGCGTAGCATCTAAATTTGTTCTGCCAGCTATTATGTGGTAGAACGAAAAAGGTCACTTTCACAGTTACTGCAAGTATAATGATTTATTTTTTGTGTCAGCATTTTATATGTCAGTGCTTTCATATGAATTTAAACAAGTATTTAAACATGTACTTGATCACAGGAAAACTATTTTTTTAAAGAGTGGTCTGTCCAGTTGTTGGTTTGCAGTTGGTTTAATTAGTTTTTCTGTAATCAGTTTAATGCCGACCAATCCAGCCATAGGTATCTGATCCTACTGTGGTATTTTGCTACAATGGTGACAACAAGAATTAATGTTTAACAGTGATACTTTTTCCATCTCATTTGACTGATCTTTTAACTAATTTGAAAGCAACAGCATCCTTATTGTTGTATCTCATCATTTTTTGTTTAGTAGATCCTGTGATTCAATAAAATCTTCAGATGTTTGCAGTCTTTATTGGAGCAGTTTTTCCTACACTGCATACATGTGCACAGAAAAAAGCTCTTCTCTTTACTCATTACTATATTTACTTATTTCTAAATTATAATAAGCACTTTTTAAATGACTTAAAGGTAATAATTAAGTTTAATATTATAGGTTTAAATAAAAAGGAAAATTCCAGGAAGTGTAAAAAAAGCAAAAAACAGCGTGTCTGTTTGTGACCTCCACGGGATCCTACAAGAGCATTCGTCTCATTAAAAGACAGCGATGTGAAGACTAGATTAAAAATACAGCAACAAATTGCAAAAGCAGTGCAACAGCACTCATTTTCTCTTCTTTCTACAGCAGATAACTGCACAGGAAGTACAAGATGAAAAAGCTTCATGAAGCAGGTTCCTGGGGAAAAAATAGGAAATGGAAAACTGCAGTGACTTGCTGCTCTAATATAATATTAGTAATATTTCTAGTCATGAAATGCATTTTAAGCATAAATACAAATTTCCACCAGGTTGACGTCACTGTTACCGCTTCATGATAGCTACGCTTTAAAGAACATTGCTGCAACAATGTTTCTGTAAACGTTGATGTGATGGCATGCCACACATGGTAAGCTCCACACCTCACCACCAGTTGATTCACCTTAGTTTAATTTACAGTCACTACTTTAAAATATTCTACTTATTGTTCAATATTGTTTCTTTATTAAATGTATTTATTTTTC